TGGGTCAGGACAATATGACGATTATGCATTGACCGTTCGGTACTAAACCATCTACCTAAACACTCGTACTCCTCAGTCATACAATGGTATACAACTACTCACAAACAGTATGCAAACATGGATAGAGTGATGATCCGAATACGAAAAATTCACCATTTCATCGACTATCAAGCATCTGCTTGTTGAGACGACTGTTCAGATAAATATTGTCAAATATATTCATCAGATGAACTTGAATTGTTCCTAAACAGCGGAGGGTAACTGGAATCGTTTTCTGGGTTTTCGTTTAAATTGAACCGAACTCGTGTTAGATAGTGTGGACTTACTTTAAAGGAATGCTTTAAAGCAACTGTGCTGTACTTCTTTGGTTAGAACAAACCAATGAACATTCACTAGGCATCAAATTCGGTCAATCTGAGTGGAGTTACCGATACTTGAATTATCATGTTGTTCATACTATCCATGAACACGTATAAAAAGAAAGATATGATATACTTTTTTCCTGTTTCCTTAAGTGATTTTATTACATATGCTGCGCCGAGAACGGGCGCTTTTGTCAAATTGACCTCACGATGCACAAATGCAGACACGGTGCTTGATCATCACCAAAAGAGAAGGTACAAGTTCAAAAATGAAAGACCTCCAGGTCGCTTCCTTCAAAATGGAGATGCTGATTTCCTTCTGACGATTGCCGTAACTGCACAGCAGTCCCTAATCACGACTGTTCCCAGTAAGAGGATGAGCCAACTTCCCAGATATCTCGAAAAGGTGCAAAAAACTAACTTTCCATGATAGCAGAAAAATATTTTTTTGGCTGCTCATGGTGGCTAGGGTCTAACCGAAAATTTGATGAATTATATTGTATTTGATGATATCACTGAGTTCAAGGTCGTCAACCAACATTGCTCTAACCCCGTTACACGTCTGCCTTTATAAGAGGACTCTGGCCCACTGCAACCCAGAACACGGTGTATGCTATTCTGAGATGATGAAAGTGACTATCAACATTTGAGTTAACCTGGATGTAGGTAAACGTGATTGTATATGGGACCATAATACAACTAAGCAGCATGATCAGGCGCTTGTCCGAACAGAATCATCTTGACTGAAACCTGTTGGATGATGAATGCGTGCCCAACCTAAGGAAGTTGTAGTAGTTGAAGTACAAACAGATTATGGATTACGAATCTCAAATTAGGAATCACGGACGTCACTTAAGCACTGAATCACACTGGCACTTTGTAGTATTTGGAATCCGAATTGGATAGCGCGAACTCGGAATCGGACTGAAAACCCACAGAATACCGCAAAGTCAGGTAGTACCAAAACGAGCTGTGAATACAGTTAATCCTATCCAGAAAATCATGCAAATATATATCACAAACATCGAGCAATCATTGGTTGATCCTTCAATGTCCAATTGACAACGATATGGTTCATTTGTTTGCCTTCTTGCATTTAGCCAATCCGGTTGGTACCAATTGAGACCATAGGATTGCTCGGTTATTCCGTTTCTTGATTGGTTACCTAGAATGTGTACTGCGGTGCGTGCGTAATCGTTACACGATCACCACACACTTGCACAGCAGTATCCTTCGTAATCGAGATGCAAGGCCAAGGCCACGAGTGTAGCAGTTCATTTATTGAAAGAAATCATGGTAATTAAATAATACATACAAAATTCCGTTCGTCATCTAAGNTCTCTGCCAATCACGTGTTAGTATTTCCGCCGTCGTACAGCTTCTGTCTGGCCCGTACGGCTTCTGATTGGTCGGTACAGTCGACCTATGGTTTATAGTCCAGAAACTGTGACATGTAGGCGCCTTGCGGACGTCACCCGAGAGGCTTGATTCATCACATTTGTCCGAAAATTTTAACGTGTTCCACCGTGGTTTGCGTCACCTCGTAGGCCAGGATCGCCACCAATTTCCATCGTTCGTTTAATCCAATCACGCAACACACGATTGAAACATTAGTTACAAGATCTGGCATCGGAAATTTGTGTACATAACCGCTATCCTCTTCTCAAAAATCACATAAATGATCCTTCAGCCTACCTCCAAGCATTCCAAATTCCAATTATTCTGAACTAGTCAATTAACGATCATACCATATGTAGCTGAAGGTGAACTGATATCAATTGCTTCCATCAATCCCATCCGAAGAATACCTGTTGATGATCAAGTCGAACATTCTGATGTAAAAATGGTAAAGCTGCACTTACAGTCATTTTCGAACAGCGCTGTGAAACAAATGCTATTTAGCTTGACTGATATTCACTAAATTTGTTAGCTTTTAGATTTTTCCATTGATGGAGGAATAAGAAGCTAAAAACAACAATGAACGACTGTGTTTTCGGCGTGATGAACCATCGTCACTGTAATTGTGAGTGTGAGGGGAGGGGGGGGCGGAGCGATTCCATTCAGATTGAAGCTTGACAACAGTGAGTAGGTTTAGCATCCTGTTGGACGTCGAGCCGCAAACCTCTGGATTGATGATTGATGCCCTAACCCGTACGCTACACCATTGACCACCAATGGTTTGACAGCCCAGTTCAATTGATTGAACACTTTTTCTTTTTAACCCTGAGAGACAAATTCGAGCACAAATGAAACAGCTGTCCGGCACACTTTATCGCCCATTGAACACAACTCCGAAGTATGGTTCTTCTATACCGGCTGTTTGGGTGATGGCCCTATGTAGCTGAAACCGCACGAGATTCATCCGTGCAATTGGAGTTATGCATGACTGTGTATGTCAAAATCCCTGGGAGGGAACACGTTCAGTCTGGGATGAGCATCGGAAGATTTATCACCGTCTCAAGTGATATTACAATGGGTACAATGTGGAGTTTCACACATGGACTCTAATCCTCCGATATCAGATTGGTTGGGGTTACAAATATCGTTTGAATCATCCTGAATGTTGTCGAAGTGGTTTTAGTGCTATATGAATTTCCGACGTTTTGAGTGAAGATGATCAGACGAACCTATCGTCATTCTATTGCGAATTGTATCCGGTTAGTGTTTCAAAAGTGGTCGTTTAGAGGAACTAGAAACTTGAGATTTCGAAAGTTACGATTCACCCGCGTGAACTAGCCGCAAGATTTGAAAATCGTACCTTTCAACATACCGACAAAATCTGAGTATTTTAGTCTGAGGGATGTTTCTACTCTTGTTTTAATTTGGTGGTAAACATCATCACTGACGAATAAAACGTATACGCATATTCCGAGTTGTCGGTTAATCAAGCACAACGATCTTTACATGCGTTCAGACTACACGGCCCACGTGAAATAGATACTTATGGTAGTTAAAACTTGGAACGAACAGCTTTCTAACTGGACGACCGTACACGCACAGTTTATTTTTTCTGAAACTTGGACACAGTTTAAGTAACATCCGTACGCCCTTTTTCTGTAGCTATAAAATATTGTCTCGATCGCCTAAAACTAACAGCCTTGGAGAGAATCGTAACGAAAAATCCTTGGTATGATTTACCTTCCGCCATCACCTATCCCGTTATCAGATGTCCTACAACTAGTTCTTGTTGTTTTTGCTGTTGTTGTTGTTGTTGTTGCTGTAACGTTCGCTGAACCGTTAAAACAGGAACCCAGAACAAATTGTGAAATTGGACATCCGTCAGAATGTGAGATAACTTGAATAGATATATATATAATAAATAATCAATATTGGTCATTGAATCGTCGTGTTCCAGTGAATTTGAAACAATCAGAGAAATCTTCTGCATATGTTATCGGTTAAAGCCAGACAGTACATCGCACATGTTCTGATGAATCGGTTTGTACTCGATCGTGACTGTAAGCGGTGGGTAGTACGGCCAATTTCAGTGGTTTCACAGGAACACACATTGGTAAATATAGCAAATGTTACAAAATAATGTGATACCTGCCATTCGGCATATAGAAACTGAAGTTGGTACTACAGTTTGGTTCCAGCATGACAATGAACCGCCACACAATACTCAGGTGGTGAGAAGTTTCCTCGAATCGGAGTTCAACTGCAGATGAATTGTCCAAGGAGGACCAAATGAATGGCCTCCGAGATCACCGGATCTGTACCCCTTAGATTTCTCTCTGTGGGGGTATTTAAAGCAAACCGTTTATTTCCGTAAACCAAGAACCATTGAGGAGTTTAAACAGAGTGTTGAGGTACAGTGCGAAATTTTTCCGATAGCCACCATTCTCAAGGCGGACGATAACTAACTATCTTCACCGAAGTTTGCTCCGCAAGCAGCAGAATGGAAAACATATTGAACAACTTTTATAAAATAAATATGAATTTTTCCATAATACTTGTTCTTTTTTCTTTTGGAGTTCTATCTCCGACGCAGTTAGCGATATCGTTCAACGCGAAAATAGCCAGTTAGGAAAAAACCAAGAAGAGTTCTGTGTGGGTTTAGAATAGGGGATATTGCTGTCCGTTAATAACACGTGTTCAAAGTTTTATTAGGATCATCCGTTTACCGAACCTGCGTAGGAAAGTAGTGCATGTATCTTATACGAATCAAGCGTTGGTCCAGTGTCATCATCGCTTGAGCATTTTCTATTGCAAATTTCCCACATGGGCATCCCTCCACACAACAGGGGACCTGGTGCTTGCCCATTTAACCCCAGAGAGAAACCACACTTTGTTTGCAGCCGTGAGTCTTAGGCTGGCTCAGTGGACTTCGACCGTACAGCAAGCGTGCAGTCGCCACACGGATGGACTAGATGTGACAACAAGAGCGTTGCAAAAGGAACAAGCCGGTAATCAGACGANGGGTTCCAAGTGCCGCAAATCGCGGAAAATGAACCAATCAGATCGCAGAGAGGGTCAGAGGGAATTTACTTGTTCGAGGTCACAAGTGACAGGGACAAGACAATGTGAAACAATGAAGCAATCGCTCTTTGTACCTGAATGGCCCATGCCAACGTATCGATTCATTGCGCCATTCCAAACCGCAAACATTCAGTCAGTCGATTAGTCAACCGAAGTCAGTCTGTCAGCCAACCACTAAGTCAGTCAGTCAGTCAGCTGCAGTCAGTCAGTCAGTCAATCAGTCAGTCAGTCAGTCTCTCGGTCAGCCATGAAATTCGGGCGAGTGCCAAATATAAGTATGCTCTGNGGACCCATAAGGACGGGTGGGAGCGCCGTCACGATGAGAAGGACAAGACAACGTGAATCGATAAGGCGATTGCAATGTCAAAACTAAGCAGTGGTCATGTACTCGAAGTGGGCCCAATTAACATCTCTATCGAAAATGCAAGTGATTGTTACTAATTATTTGATTAATGATCGCACATTCATCTCTCAATCATCACTTGGTACATAAATAATAATCTGGTTTTCCAGATGGCGCACTAAGAGCAAGCTTGTTCACCACATTTCTGTTTTCCATTGAATCTATCGAAACTAGATAGTCATTGTCTTACTGCCTAGTAAAAGTGCTGAGAATATTTAGACGGTTTCTTGTGAGTTGACCAAGAAACGGAATATACGAAGATGCCCTTTAATTAGGAAATTAATAATGATATCATTTTCTTCTTCCCGAGTGACTCTTATGCTGGAAAGAGCTAGGTTGAATTGTTACCATAATTCAGAGATTTTGACACTCTTGACTACGAAACACAATGATTTTTAGAGCTTGCACCGCTAAATTGCAACAATACGAAGCTAGTATCCTCTCACTGGACGGTGAATATATCCGACAAAAGAAGACCTTGCGAAAATCCGTCATCTCTGTGATTGATTTCGTCACGGCCCTCGTATTGAAATTGAAAAGCTGGTAAGCAGTGAACAGTTTCTTAATCTTATCTACCACCTACAGTCATGTGCATTCATCAACCAAAATACGATGTGGAGGCTCTGAATCAAACTCAGGCATCCTATCCGCGTAACCTTCAGACTGGTCCTAGCATTCTGCCCCCGTGGAAGCACAAACCACGTCTGGAAACCGATTCTAATTAGTTCCCCTCGACCTTCCGGATCATAAGCAGACAGTGCAGCGCTCACAGAGATGGAAGGACATGACTTGTTTGTTCCGCACACGTTTTCACATTGAATTTAAAAATTTTACGATTTTAACTCTGCACCGATAACAAACAACTATATGATTCATACAGAGTAAATGTGATGCTGATCACTGAATAGCCTGGAGAGCTCTGAGCAGCTATCTCGTCCGGTTTGTTAGGATCGAACCCACTGTAATCAATGGGTTTTGGATCCAGCGTGCTGACTGTCTGGGTTATCCGCATAGGCTCTCAACAACTTGTTGTTCGACGTCAGCACCACGTCATATAACACTCACCAATTCATGTATGATGCTTTTCAGTGTTGAATGACATGTGGATTCTGGATGACGGATAAACTTGCGTGAATACATAGGAATCTCCTAAACCATGTCACCACAATAAACTTATAAACATTTCTTGTGCATTCTGTGTACGTTAAACCTGCGCAGACTAACACACATCCATCAACTACGCGCAACGGTTTCTTGCCATGTCCACATTCGGGCTGTGCGGGAATTTCCCGACTTGGTCGAGACGGTGTTTCGCCCTTTAATTGCTGGTTCGCATGCCTTTCCGTAGTTTTCTTACTTCTGTGTATTTGTCCATTTCACAGACAACCTCGATTGTTTGCTTTGTTTGGATGTGATAAAAAAATTTGAAAGCTGTCCAGACAGCCTCCGACCTGTCGGGTAGTTGGAGGGAAAAGTTAAGAAAATAAAGGCCGGGCTGGAAGCGGGCATTGTGCATACCACCCGGACGGGAATGCTTTGCGTAATTGCAGATTGTGGACACTTCATCCGAACGAGAATTATGCCATCCTCGGGCAGCCCGATTCATCATGAGCTACTTTTAGGCTTCCCCATCCTGATGAAAGAGGGACGGGTGAATGTGTGGGCGGGTGGACGAAAGAAAATGGCAGGCGGAAACTTTTCCTATGTCCGGTGTGTGTAACCGAGCAGAAACCAACCGCCTTCTGGGGCGTGAGATTTTGGTTTTTGAAGTAGCTCCTGGTAAATTTAAAACACTGTGAAAACCTTAGAGTTAACGTCACTGTATATTGGTCCCTTTCTATCACACGGAATTTAAACAGTGAAAATTTTTACTTCGACTAGTGATCACAGACTAGAAAGCACGGTTGCGCTTCGAACAAATGCTACTCAAATGTCTACACAACAACATCAAATTTACGATCCCTTCATCCGTGTAGGAATATCGTTTAGGGTGTGTGTGTATGTGAACTTCGGATATAACATAAAATGTTTAATTTGCCGGAAGACATAAATGAACAACAAATGTCCGCATCGAGTACTAGTGAAAACGGCTGGTTAAAGAAACGATTCAAAACCTTCAGTGCATGGAAAAAGACAGACGGGAACACAAAGGCAAATATTTAATAAATAATAAATATTAAAAAGAAATTATCCCGTTCACCAGGGTAAGGTAAGCCTATTATGTTTGATAAACACCTTACTCACAGCAGGAGGTTGAGGGTGGGTGAAAGTAGACTCGGTGATGATAGTTCTGGACATTGTTCCCTCCTAACGAATGACTCGTGGTTATCTAACGCTGCGAAATCACGTCAGCAAGAGAGCCACGCGTGACGGTTTCTATAACACCATGTGGATGTCAGAGAACAAGACCAATGAGATCAATTGCGGCGCAAACAAGAGTACTGTATTCGCGGAAAAGTAGACGCGGATTGGATAGCTAGTTTAGAATGAATGAGATTTCTCAGTAAACACTATTCACTCATTTTTATTTTGTCCAACGCTTTGGAGACCTTCTTTCCGGGTGCTGGTTTTGTGATCTGTTACAGTTAAATAAGGAGTATTATTCTGGTAACTGAATTGCAAATGCGTCATTCATCTATTCATCTTTGAAGTGACTCATGAAATATACAATCTCGAAATACAGAAGCTTCCAAATGTAGATAGTTTTCGTACAGATGACGTCAGTTGCACCGCAAGGCATCATGATATCTCTATTCGGATATCGGAGTGGTCGTATTGTCTGCGCTAAACAAGCTCGATGAAACGATTCCTAATCCGGTTGGGACCATCGGAGCTGATATGAAGGCGAGTACGTGCCTGCATCAGTGCCTAGTCAGTGCAGTTCGGTGAAAAATGAGCTCAGTTGCGGGAAACATGTGAGATAATTCAGTCTTATAAGGCAAACCCTAGGTGTTGTGTCCCACAGAAGCAAATAGATAAGTGGTGAGCTTAAGAGTTATCTTATTTTCAGTATGTAAATGTAAACATAACCGGTCCCCAGGTGAGTGAGCAAGCAGTGTATCAACACGCAGGCAGACAGGCAGGCAGGCCAACTAACCCAAAGGTTACCAAAAGCAGAATGTTGCCACCCTGAGTAGTCACCAAAACAATAAATTCGGACAGGTCAACACTGATGTCTGATTCGCTGAGGCAGATCGATCGTGTGGTAGAGTAAGTTAGCATACATTGCGTACGTGCTTGTCGTTCAGGCTACTTTGGTCAATCATGTGATGTGCGGTAAACCTTTCAGTCGACTGCAGGTCACAGCACCACCTCCCCTTTTGGGAAGAAATATGTAACGCACCCGGGTCAGTCGAAGATGAGTAATAATACTAATAATAAAAAGGGAATCTTCAGACATGGCTGGATAGCGTGACAATGCATTCGCCTTTGTGTAGTATGCTCAGATGATGAAGCGTGCAGATCTCATCTAGTCATTTGGTATTTATCTGAGGATTAGCGCGTTTCTGAAGTACAGGTCGTTTTTGCACATGGCAGTTGTGAAAGGACACTTCTTCACCGGCTGTCTAGTCTGACGAATTGAACGGAAGTGAAATGCAACCAGCAGGAAGATACAATTTGATTCAGTTACATTATCAGGATACTTCAGCAGCTCGTAAATGGTCGTATCGCATTATTGGCTCATGAGCCTAGTAATTCATTCAGTTTTATCGGAAAATAGGACTAATAAATATTTCTTAAATGCCTACGGGAATCTCAGTGTCTCGGTTTATCCCACTATGATGAGTCAACCCTCAGAGATGACGCCAGCCAAGCCCCTAAGCGTTCCAGTTTCTGGACATTAGGCTATAAACCAACAGTATTGATCAATCAATAGCCATAGTTCGAACAGAAGCCCTGTGATTCAAAGAAGGAGAACGGGGATTAGTTGATACTTATTTGACCAGAGATATGTCTATTTGCATATTATGTAATCCCATTGGTTTACTCCAATAAATGACCCATTACTTCTGTAGACTTTTTCTTGCGTTTCGAGAGATCCCAGTGTACGATTATTAGTGCAATTGTGTGCTTCAGTTGCGACCGTGCGTTGTAATCCGTATTTTGCACCTACGTCGATTACTACACACACATACTCTGCCTGTACAACGTCGGCCAACCCTGGCCATTGCACTCCACTTGGTTGGAAGCGGTCACCCAGCGAACGCGTTCTCGGTTTTCTTACGTTATTGCGATAAACACTGACGAACAATACTCCAGGCACTATCCAACGCTCACCATGAACGCGAGTTTTGTGCCCTAATAAACGCTTACGCTACTTGCAAACACAACCTGGGCAAGTTAGCGTTGTCGCTTCCAGCTTAGATTGACGGGAGCTGTTCAATGAAGTGCCTCCACCACTATCGGAAAAACAGCTCTCTCTCTCTTCTGCAATGCGTCTTCGTATACGCTCACTTATTTCCAACTGAGATATGAATATCCCCTCCCTGTGGCTGGTCGGGTTGTGGACACATACGCACACACACAGAAAAGACGTGGTATTGCGGGAAGGTAAGGTTTTGTGGGGATTGCGTTAAGAAATATACTACTGTTTTTCAGAAAACATGATTTATTTTCACTATTCTCTCAGTATTCATTCGTGATTAAATGCACTGACTAATGACAATATCCAAGTACCGGTCCAGTAAGTCGGAAAAAAGGCTAAAAACATGCATCCTGCCTCAGTATTTACTGTGGAAAATAAACGATCATCACTTCTGTTCTCATTGAACTATATACACACTCATTGTAGATGGACAAGCAGTAATCAGTGGCTGTTCACATTTTTATACAATGGAATATCTGCGTCCTATGCAAACGTCTGTTACAACAGGTAATGGGGCTTTTGAATTCAGTAGTATCTGAGGTGACCGAAAATCACGTTTGTATTTATGTAAACATTTTAGCATTTCACTGTTGCGGGAGGCATTGAACGAAAGATGAAGTGCAATGGTCTTTTAGCCCCGCAGAATACTGAGCCTCAAGACAAAAACAGAAAACAACAACAATAACATCATCATCATCATCATCATCATCATCATCATCATCACCATTATCATGATTGTCGACATTGTTGTGTTTGTGGGTCGTCCCTTTTCCTCCCCCTGACAAACCGAGATTGATCACGTATGTTGTTGTTTACGAGTGAACACGAGCGTAAACGAAATCGGTGCATTCCATATTGCCGATAGACCGGTTGGTTAGTAGGTTTTGGACCGATTCGTCGCCCGGACCACGTTAAGCTGTCTTTAAAGTTTGGGCTTAGCGCAGCGCGGGCGCCACGCAATCGTCTATTCCATTTTGCACAGGTCTGCGTATCTTTTGTCGCATGCATTCCACTGTACTGTTCCCTCCTCCTCCTCCCCCCCCCCGGGGCAATAGGCGCGGGACCGGTGAATTCGTCTCGGGACTGACCCCGATTTTGGAAGGNATGCGGCACCGGGTTGATCAAAGCGTGCTCACTTTTGTTGAGCGAGCAGCTGATTCGACCGGGAAACAAAGCGGGAGCATTTACCGTTGCGATGATTTTGGAGATTGGTTTTTATTTCCTTTTGCACATTCCACTTGTCACGTGACTAACCAACGTGTATGCGAACCCCAGCCATTTCGGATTGATCAGAACGCTTGAGAGTAGGTTCGTGTGACCGGAATCTTGTGTGAACCAGTAAATTGTCACACCTTTTCG